GTTCAGCTGCAGACCAACCTTACCACAGGCGCAGTCGAAATCAGCCAGCATTCGCTCCGCTTGCTCGATGTTCGGCGTTATAAGAACGATGTCGTCAGCAAAACGAAGGTGGTGTAGTTGCCGGCCGTCGACCTTCACTCCCATGTCTTCCCATTCCAGTTGACGCATGACGTTCTCGAGAGCGGCGCTGAAGAGTTTGGGCGAGATGGTGTCGCCCTGTCGAACCCCTCTCTTGACGTCGATGATGACCTCCTTGTAGAATGGTGAGATTCTGGTCGTAAAGTTGCTGTAGAGCTCACGAAGAATCTTGATGTACTGAGTAGGGACGCCCTGGTTGCCCAAGGCCTTCTTCAAGTCGATGAACGTGAGACAAAGCGGCATCTTGTACTCCCGTGAAACTTCAATGAGTCTCGTAACCGTGTGGATATGGTCGATCGTGCTGAACCCTCTTCGGAACCCTGCTTGCTCGCATGGCTGTCCTTCATCTAGTATTCTGCCGATCCTGTTGAGGATGACTCGAGTGAATAGCTTGTAGATTACAGACAGCAGGCAGATTGGGCGATAGTTGCCAATGTCGTCCAAGTCTCCCTTCTTGTACAGCAACACGGTCCTGCTGGTTTTCCACGGAGTGGGTACCTTGCATTCCGACAGGTAGCGCGTGAAGAGTCGAGCCAGAGTTTTGATGATAACTGGCGGTGCATTCTTCAGATGTTCCGGTTTAACCCTGTCGAGACCGGGTGCTGTACGATTCTTCACCGACTTGATGGCGTGTCGGACTTCGGAAGAGAGAACTGAGGGGACGACGTATCCATCCTGTTGCAGTTGATAAGTAGGCAGATGGACATGGCTATCGAAGAGATCCGAGTAGAAGTCGTGGATGACTTTCTCCATTGCCCTTCGGGATGCAGTGGCTGTTCCATGGATGGTCCTCCCAGCCTCTGCTGCTTCAGCTAATACTGCTGCTCTTCGCTCCTTGAGATCTTCCTTTATCGCCTCTCTGCATAGCTTCGCAAGCTCGAACGTGAGTTGGTAATTGTCTGCAGCTCTTGTGGGAGTTGACAAGAGAAATTAAGTGATCCCAGTTGATGACTGTCCTGGGGCTTCGCTTCCTGAACTTTGAGGCTCTCTCAACACGCATCGAAAAGTGGAATCTTGCGCGGAGGAGACGATGGTCCGATCCCGTGTAGAACTTCGGAACAACAGCGACGTCGGTCAGGCAAAACCTTCGATTGAAGATGATGTGGTCTATCTCGTTATGGAACTGTCGCCCTGCTCATTCCAATCCATTCCGTGAGTACCGAATGATCTTTCCTGTAGAACTTCTCCAATTCCATATAAAATGCTTCGTGTTCCTCCTCGTCGTAGCTGGATGTTGGTGCGTAGGCGACGAAGATTGTCAAAGCAGGAGTTGAACCACATCTTCTCAATCTCAAACGTCCGATTCGGGTCGTAAGGCTTTCGTACGAATCGATGTTTATGGCCAAGTGCGTGTTGACGAGGACACCCACACCGCCAACGCCTCTGCTGTCGCATGTTCCAAGGAACAGTTCTTCTCCAGTATCGAAAACGGCGTGTAGCGGGCGGTGCCTTCTCGTCTCGGTCAGTCCGATGACGTCGTACTTGATCTTCCTGGCCTGCATCATCAGATCTTCGATGTGAGCTTCGGATGCAAGCGTTCGTGCGTTGAAAGTACAGATCGCCATCTTAGTCCTTCTTCGTTTAGGCAGCCTATCCGGGCCCTGAGATTCTAGCAGCCTCTCCCGAGCGGTCCTACCCAACGCTGCCGTATTGGGGGCTCCCTCAGGTTCAGGGGAATGAGGCCCATCCATATTGCTGTTTTCGGCATATTGAAGGCACACGAGTAGCTTGCCAGGCTCTGTCGTGTGGGCTAGGATAGACCTCCAGGTAGTTAGCCACGCTATCCTGGAGCGGAACAAGGGGCTTGGAGGCGGCCCCGAATCGCCTCCCATGTACTTCCCAGTCACTTGAATGCAAGCTTTTGGCTGTGCCGACATGCAGGATACCAACCGCACACACACACGCAAGCATGCATGGATGCGCCTGAGTGGAGACAGCTGGTATGAATCAACACAGCACTACAGAAACAGGGAGTCCATCCCCTGAATCCACCTGCGTCTCAGGGCAAGTACATGGTGGCTTTTGGTCCGCGATTTACCCCCTATCCGCCACCTGGGGTCGCGCCACGTAGCCTCGCCACCAACCGGCTCGAGATCTTTCAGTGAGAGAGGACCCTCAGTGAAAGAGATCCGTGGAAAAACTTACTTTAACAGGCACGTCACTGGGGATAAAGCATTTGTCGTTGGTAAATCTCCTTTTTGGAATGCGGCACGCATTCTACATCCACTTGTACAATCGTAATGCGTTTGAATGCGTTGGCCCGGGCGACTCACGACCCAGGATTTGATCCCCGGACCGCTCGCGTGGTAAGCGTGCCACTTGCCACTACACCACTTCCGCCCATCAGTGACTTATAGGTGACATGAAGCCATGGTTTCGACGTAGGTGATTACTTTAACAGGTACGATCGGCGAAATCTTCATCCGTCCAAAGAGCACGCGGTGTCTGCGTCCTCTCCTACACATGCTCGCTTATTATCCTTCCGTTGAGCGCTTCGTCCCTCTGACGTACCATGGTCGACTTTACAAGAGAAGATGTTCTTAATTTCAGGGTTTCTTTGTTTTCTTTTCCTCTCACTGACAATCTTCTTCGCACCTCCTGTTTCATTTTCGAAAAGAATTACACACAAAATCGATCGCGACCCGTGCCTCTTAGCCCTTCAACTTATAACAGAATATTGGTCCAGTACTTGCTTAATGTCAAGCTGGACATTTAAAACCAGTTGGCGCCGCACGCATTGCGCGCACAACACAGATCTGCGGCGAATTTTGATGGTGCGACGAAAATTTTCAAATTTGGCTTGATACACCACGAATATCTGAATTCTCAGCTAAATTCTATCCGCTCCATCATCGACGGCTTTCAACCTCTTTTTCTTCGTCAACCATTATCCTCTTTTTCCCGGTCTCCGGACTGCTTCCGGACAATAAATCTCGTGGCAAACTCCGCCTACTTCGGTGCGTGCCCCGCCCACCAATAGCATTTGGCTCCCTTCCTTCGCCGACCTCTATCCACTTTTTCCCGGTCTCCAGGACTTCTTGGAACCGAGTTATGAATTTTCGTGGCAAACTCCGCCCACTTTGGACATGCTCCGCCCACCAATAATATTCTAGCTCCACTCCTTCACCCACCTCTATCCACCTTTTTCCCGGTCTCCGGGACTTCTTGGAGCCGAATTATAATTTCGGCGCAAACTCCGCCCACATTGGCGCACGCTCCACCCACCCGTAGCAGTTAACTTCTCTTTCTTTGCTGACCTCTATCCACTTTTTCCCGTTCTCCAGGACTTCTTGGAACCGAGTTATGAATTTTCGTGGTAACTCCGCCCACTTTGGACATGCTCCGCCCACCAAAGTATTTAGCTCCACTCCTTCACCCACCTCTATCCACCTTTTTCCCGGCCTCCGGGACTTCTTGGAGCCGAGTTATGAATTTTCGTCGCAAACTCCGCCCACTTTGGTCATGCCCCGCCCACCGATGACAGCTGGCCTCCACTCCTCCACCCACCTCTATCCACCTTTTTCCGGCTCACTAAGACTTCTCCGGCCCGAATTATGAGGACTTGTAGAAAACGCTGTAGCGCGCCCCGCCCATTGTGGGCGGGCCTCCGCCCACGTCATGTATGCTGGGAACACCTTAGACATTGCTCCCCTACACCAATTTGTTTTCTGCTCTGTGGGCTTTCTCCTGATGATGAGCTGATGTGTGCTCGTACTTCTCGAGACCTGGGCCACCCAACCCACACTTGACCCGGTTTCTCCAGGTGAATCCCCAGGAGCTAGGGAATTTCGTGACAGACATACAGACAGACAGACGAAGCGCTTTATAGTAAGTAGAATGCTTGAATTGGGAATTTTCAAAAAAGAAAACACATGAAACACATCTGTGTAGTAAACTTACAGCTGATTGTAGCCGCGCCAACAACAACTGGACATGACAGACTCGGGAACTTTCCAGTATGAAAGTTCGTTGGCGAACTCTTGAGGGCATACGTCTAACGGCCGGTGTAATTGGCCTGTTGCATAGTATTTAAAAACGGCATCGAATAAAACAGAAGATCGCTCAAAATAGTACTCCTCAGCATCCTGCAATAGTTCCGTTAATGACTGAGCTTAGTCATTGATTCCGATTTGTGGAATGCTCAAGGCTTACAACGATATAGGCGTCACATGATCGCACTCGCTTTTCGTGATCCATCTGAGCAAAAGCCACCAATTTCTCCTCCTCGGTTCGCGAGAACAAACTGACCATTCGAATCCGAAACGACATTCCACCAATATTCAACTTCAGTACCGTATCACCGGCACCTGAACAAAGATCACCTACGTTACTGTTACTATACGATTCATTATAACCTCGTTGGCTATACTTTTTGCTTATGTTCACATTTTTTCTTTCGAAATTGGTTTTAAATTCAGACCATGTTCGACTTCGTCGGCCTCGAGCTGTTGCTAAACCATGTATTTGGTGAAAATGAATCCCTACTATATGTAATGCGCTAAGTCTGTCTGTCTGTCTGTCTGTCTGTCTGTCTGTCTGTCTGTCTGTCTGTCTGTCTGTCTGTCTGTCTGTCTGTCTGTCTGTCTGTCTGTCTGTCTGTCTGTCTGTCTGTCTGTCTGTCTGTCTGTCTGTCTGTCTGTCTGTCTGTCTGTCTGTCTGTCTGTCTGTCTGTCTGTCTGTCTGTCTGTCTGTCTGTCTGTCTGTCTGTCTGTCTGTCTGTCTGTCTGTCTGTCTGTCTGTCTGTCTGTCTGTCTGTCTGTCTGTCGTCTGTCCGTCTGTCACGAAATTCGGTACTAAGCGAACAACAACCTAGAGGGCCCGGGTCAAGTTTGGGATATCTGATATCTATAGACCATATCTCGATAAGTAAGAAACATACTTCAGCTAGACGGAACGCCGCCCACAGTGGACGTGGCATGCATCAAAAAGGGGGGCGACGGACTATACAATCGTCGGCTAATGAGGTCACGCCGCTCACGCGGCGAGAATCGTCGCGTGCGGCAGTTGCTGCGGCGATTTCTGTGTGGACCTTTTCTTATCCATCCATGCCATAAGTTGGCTAGGTGACTGATAACACCAGAGTGCTGGACATCAGTAAGCCAGCAAGCGTCACTGTAAGATCCCTGCAGTGATTTAAGCCTCGCAGTACAAACTTTGTACCGTGTAAAGGTTGTCCTTTTGGATTTAATTTGACTTCTTTATTAATCAGTTTCCTGAATTTCTATCAGAGAGTGATAATCTGGTTCAATCGGAAAGAATATTGCGTATCAAGACACAGAGTAGCGGCGAGGAAGGCTCTAACATAAGCATGATATGATAAGTATGTAATAACGGCGAGCGAAAACGAAACTGCATTTTAAAGGTTAGGTGGTTCTTATTTCCATGTTTCATGAAGGGAAACATGATCTAATCTTACATTCCCCAATGCTTGGATGCTGAGTTCTTTGCAAATTCGCCGCGATATTGCTGGCTGCGGCGGCCTGGCGCGGCGACCTACTTACTGCCACGATTGAATAGTCACGCACCCCAAAAGGCGGTACTGAGGACCATGATTTCAAATTCAGTCACAAAACAGCCTCGAGACCGGGACAAAAGTGGGTATAGGTGTGCGTTGGTAAGCCAGATTGAACTGAGGAGACCCACCCTCGGTGGGCGGGGCGTTCTCTAAAAAAGCGGTGCTCAATGAAAATATTCATAACTCGGTTAGGAGAAAGCCTACAGAGCAGAAAAGAAATTAGTGCAGGGGAGCAATGTCTAAGGTATTTCCAGCATACATGATGTGAACGGAGGCCCGCCCACAATGGGCGGAGCGTGTCGTGAAGCGGACAGCGTTTTCTACAAGAGCTCATAAATCGGCTCCGAGATGACTTAGAGACCGGAAAACAGTGGATAGAGGTTAGGAGAGGAGGAGAAGCTAAATGTCAAGGCTGGGCGTGGCTTACACCAAAGTGGGCGGGGTTTGCCACGAAAATTCATGTCTCATAACGTCCCTACAAGACCTCATAATTCGGCTCCGAGATGACTTAGAGACCTGAAAAAACGTGTGTAGAGGTGAGAGGAGGAGTAGAGGTTGAATGTGAACGCTGGGCGTGGCACACCCCGAAGTGGGCGGGCGGAGTTTGCCACCACTCTCATAACTCGGTTCCTAGAAGAAGTTAGGCGACCGGGAAAATGTGGATAAGGGTTGACGGAGGGAATGGGGTTAAATGCTATTGGTGGGCTAAGCATGCACCAAAGTGGGCGGAGTTTGCGACGAAAATTCATGACACGATTCCAAGAAGTCCCAAAAACCGGAAAAGGGTCAATGGAGGTGGGTGGAGGTGGGTGGAGGAGTGGAGCCCAGCTGCTATCGGTGGGCGGGGTTGACCAAAGTGGGCGGAGTTTGCGACGAAAATTCATAACTCGGTTCCAAGAAGTCCTGGAGACCGGGAAAAAGTGGATTGAGTTTGTCAACGGAAGGGAGTCAACTGCTATTGGTGGGTGGAGCGTGCGTTGAAGTAGGCGGTGTTTGTCACGTGATATTACAGTTGAAAGAGAGCCCAGAGGCTGGGAAAAGTGGATAAAGGTTGGCGAAGGAATGGGGCCAAATGCTATTTGTGGGCGCCAAGGATTTGCGGAGTTTCCCACGGTGAACTATAAAAATATCAATGGCCCTGTTTCCTATCAATAGGGTCCCGTGTGATGCACGCGCATGCGTGCTCCACTAAATGTAAATGAATAAATCACATTTTTCAGGAAACTGTAGGTGGGATTCTAACGACGAGAAGTCTTGTCCTCGTCCGAAAATTGAACGAAGTTTTCTTCTGCACAATAATCCATGTTCAGAGCATCGATCACAAAATTTTTGTACTTCGTTGAGTGCTCTTTTTCCCAGGATGAGAGATCAGATGCTTTACAAAAGAAGAGTTCAACCCTTAATTCAACTTTGGCGTGTGCTCAACCCAAGGAGTCGCCCTTCAAGAATGGCTCGCGCGACGGAATGACAAAGCACAGCAAAATAGAATTTTTTCATACCGACATGAATTAATGGCATAAATCACAAGAATGAGGATAAGAGGTTGCCATAGCCAGGAATCGCTCCAGGTTCCAGCGGTTTCCGGGTAGTTGTGGTAAACATTTCAGCACCTAGGCCATGCTTCACCTTGAAGTAGTCTTCAGTGTCATGTTCATTACATGTAGTAAACGCTGGGGTAGAGTTACTGTCGAAAACTGAGCAAAGTGGAACTGGGTGATGAAGAGAATGATGGCATCTAGTTAGAATATTGTACAACAAATTTAAGGGTCAAGGTAAGCGCGGTACACACTTCCTTTACTTGCAAATTAATGAAGGAAGAAAAAACCCAAAGCACCAACATCCGTAAGTAGCTCGATCCAATTTTTCAAAAACATTATTTGACATCGCAACATATGTAGGATACTTCACTTCGTTTTCAAACCAAATTTCAATTAGGTATGCATTTTGAAGAGTGAGGACGGTACTTAGAAATCCTACCAGATGCGAGTTCGGCTCGAGGACACCCATTCTCCGATTTGTGCTCGAATGCGTAAACATGATGATGAGAAGCCTGAAAATATAGGTCGATAGGTTTTGCTCTACCAATCGGCTGGAATACTGATCGATTCTTATGAGCACATTCATAACTTTCTATTATATCTGTATACCACATTCTGAGACTTCAACTGCAACTAATATAATCTGCGTTTTATTTTTTCTTCAGGTTTTCGAGGACACAGTAGAAGTGGACTTGAATTCATCACCTATCTCTCTGGAAAACCAGTCACGCAATAAAACTTAACTTCAATTCCTAGCGAAAAGGATATAAACGAAGCAGTAAAGTTGTAGAGCTTGAAATTCTGTAGTGATGGCTTGGTCACTTTCTCAGAATTTTTCGACAGCCATATAGTTCGGAAAAGCAGCACATTTAGAGCAAACCAATTAGACATTGGTCTGTGCACTAATTTTTGCTGCGTTTATGGTGCAAACAACCGTTTGTTTCATGAGGAAATTCAACTATTTCACTAACAACATGTTGAAGGCACGGGCGCGACTGCATTAGTGTGTTTTCCGCTCGAAAAAGATCTTCACTCTATATAATGCGAAAAGTCTGTCTGTCCTTCTGTCTGCCTGCCTGTCAGTCAGTCAGTCAGTCAATTAGTATGTCAGTCAGTCAGTCAGTCACTCAGTTAGTCTGTCAGTCTGTCTGTCTGTCTGTCTGTCTGTCTGTCTGTCTGTCTGTCTGTCTGTCTGTCTGTCTGTCTGTCTGTCTGTCTGTCTGTCTGTCTGTCTGTCTGTCTGTCTGTCTGTCTGTCTGTCTGTCTGTCTGTCTGTCTGTCTGTCTGTCTGTCTGTCTGTCTGTCTGTCTGTCTGTCTGTCTGTCTGTCTGTCTGTCTGTCTGTCTGTCTGTCTGTCTGTCTGTCTGTCTGTCTGTCTGTCTGTCTGTCTGTCTGTCTGTCTGTCTGTCTGTCTGTCTGTCTGTCTGTCTGTCTGTCTGTCTGTCTGTCTGTCTGTCTGTCTGTCTGTCTGTCTGTCTGTCTGTCTGTCTGTCTGTCTGTCTGTCTGTCTGTCTGTCTGTCTGTCTGTCTGTCTGTCTGTCTGTCTGTCTGTCTGTCTGTCTGTCTGTCTGTCTGTCTGTCTGTCTGTCTGTCTGTCTGTCTGTCACGAAATTCCCTAGCTAAGCGGACAACAACCTAGAGGGACCGGGTCAAGTGTGGGATGGGTGGCCAGGTCTCGAGAAGTACAAAACACACATCAGCTAAGCGGAGCCCCGCCCACAGTGGGCGTGGCGTGCATCGAAATGACTGTACTGACGACCAAGATTTCATTTCACAAAACAGCCTCGAAACTGGGCCAAAAAGTGGGTAAAGGTGTGCATTGGTAAGTCACATCGAATTAGGGAGACCCACCCCGGTGGGCGGGGCGTTCTCCAAAAAAGCAGTGCTTTATGAAAAATTTCATAACTCGGTTGGGAGAAAGCCTACAGAGCAGAAAACAAATTGGTGTAGGGGAGCAATGTCTAAGGTGTTCCCAGCATACATGACGTGGGCGGAGGCCCGCCCACAATGGGCGGAGCGCGCTCTGAAGTGTACAGCGTTTTCTACAAGTCCTCATAATTCGGGCCGGAGAAGTCTTAGTGAGCCGGAAAAAGGTGGATAGAGGTGGGTGGAGGAGTGGAGGCCAACTGTCATCGGTGGGCGGGGCATGACCAAAGTGGGCGGAGTTTGCGACGAAAATTCATAACTCGGCTCCAAGAAGTCCGGAGGCCGGAAAA